CTTTCCACACACAGACACACACGATTAGCTATGTAATTCTGTTCTCTACTATTTTTTTCTCATATCATCATGAGGTGCCATGTCAGGGCATTGTCCCTGCTGCTTACTAATGGATTTCTTCTTCTTCTTCTTTTGCTTTTGCTTTTGCTTTTTTGTTGTGTTACATAATATTTGAGCAACTCCTGATGACTGCGATACATTAGAGGTTTTAGTCTCAGGCACCTAGCGTACATAAACGCAAGAGATTTTAAGGTTTTCTTTTACATATTGCCTTGGTCGGCTGTTGCAGTTGATGCCGCTTTGGCTGGTGCAAGTTTAGCACTTAAATAAAATTCTCATAGTTTTTCATTACTTTTCTGACTTACCTAACATTTTTATTTATTTTCTTTTTAAATTTACTCTACTCCACTCAGCAACTTAACAGTTTTTCTATGTGCCCTGTGATAAGCCGCTGAACATGTTACTAAGTCTGCCTGCAAACAGTAGAGGACATTAAAATATTATCGAAAAGAAAACAACAAACTATCATGAAGTAGGCTTCCTGATAAAGCAAATGGTCAACGCCCTCTTTGATGATAATACAATACAAAGACAGTAGACTCCGCTCAAAGGAGCTTAACATGATAAAGAAATACACATGGAAATGTATTTCAAAAGCAGCTCAGCTTATCAGGGCTTCTATCTACGTCTCAAGGCAAGACAAAAATTTCTTTTAATTTGCAGAGAAATTGCCAAAAATATATAAAAAAAAATTTTAAACTGAATATGAACATACATATAAAAAAATAATAATAAAAAAGTAAGGTGACCTTTCATCCGAAGCAAAAGTATCAAATTTTTAGCAGTTTTAGTCAGAAATATTCAAGTTTTAATTTACATGTCCATTGCTTCAATTAATAAAAAATAATCTTTTTACCTTACAGAAAGCGTGTGCTCATCAAAATATAATTATTTTTAAAAAAACTCTCTGCTTTCCAGCAGCTTTTTGCCATTCTTCACGATATGTAAAATGTATTTAGACTAAAAACGCCAAGTACAAGAAAATAATGTCCAACTATCTAGGTCATTAAGTGTGTCAATTTAGGTATTTTGATATTTAGATCATAAGTGGTAAGCGAAAAAAGATATATTTGTATAAGTATATCAAGGCAATACGTGCTTGATATTGCGTTTACCATTGAGGTTAAAGAGAGCTGCAGCTCGCTGATCGTGCTTATTTTTTTATGATAATTTAGTAATGTAGAAAAAAATATTTAGAACTTGCAAAACTGTAAAGAATGAAATAAAATATATCCAAAATGAATATAATTTTTCGATTTGCAAATAAGTAAAATAAATTTTTATATAAAAAAAATCAATTAATATGTATTTCATTTATATATACATTCGATCTGGTTTTTACAAATTAATATCCAAGAAAGAAAAAAGTATAAGTAATATCAGTCATAGGATCAAATAGAAATTAGTTCATTAGATCTAAATGAAGTCTATGAAAATTTTTTACAAAGCATCTGTTAAAGAGAAAAAAATAAGATCAATAATTCTACAAAATAAAAAATAGGTAGTCTCTTAGGCATCAAAAAATAAGATTAATAATTAGTTTAATTTAGAAGTACGTTTAATTAAATCGTCAATACATCCGATCATTGCAGTTTCTACTTATTTAGATCTCGTTAATCTATATATTGTAGAATTACAAAAAGACTAACAAAAACATTAAAATTTTTTTATTAAATCAATTAAGATAAATTTTGATATAAAATATGATGAAACATTTGTTTTATGTGAGTTTCACAAAGTGAAGCCGGAGAGAACTTATATATTTTTGAATTTAAAAAAGACACTTCAATGTCAATATTTATAAGATGAGTGTATATAGAAGTAAGGAAAGAAAATGTATAATAATTTTTTCATACTCATACTATATAAGTTTCAGCGCACAATATATTTTTTTTGGTGGGGTGCATCCTATTATTTAATAATAATATAAAGTTATAGAAATTGTAAGGTTCTACAAACGGCTCATCTATTCAAAATAATACATATATTAACTAATAAATCAGGTTGATTTCTGCTTTAAATTTACAACAAATTTCATCAATTTTAGATTAGTTAGATTTAAAAATTTATTCCAGGAACTAAATTTTACTAAGTATAACCTATACAGCTGTTTATGATGGGTTGTAAAGGTACTGACGCGTGGAATATTTATAATTATAATCCTTTGTAATAGCTTTGTCCTAACAATTACAAACTTTTGTGTTGTATTTGATGTTTTTTTAACTTTATCTTTCACTAAATTTGACTTCGATATATTATCTTATTATTTTTCTTTGAATACTGATAAAATACTAATAACTTCTCAATAACACATAAATGTAAAGTAGATATTTTTTATATGTCCCTAATTATGAAATTCGATTCGATGTATATAGAAAATTAAATATGTATTTTAAATTTATAATAATTTTTAACTGCTTTTTGTGCCTTAATCTGACTAAGCTCTGACTGTCTCACGGATCCATATCGTATTGCACTTTTTGCCATTGAATCAAGAAAAAAACTCCATTTTTTCATTTTTTGAAAAATCATTAAAAGTAAGATT